TGTGGTAATGAGCAATTTAGCTCGATGTATATTTCCTTATGTGAAATCTATGTGTGGATCGGGTGGCACGCCGCCATGGGTATGTTATTTGGATCGGGTTGCACGCCGCAATAGTGGGATGTTGTGTACAGTTCCCCGTATCTGTTTTTATGTGTTTTGTTTCCTCTTTTCCTGAAAGGAACTTATATTAGTTGTGTGCCTGCGTCGCATGCACGATTTGCAAGCGGGGTAATTGGATTTCCTTTTCGGAGTTCGTTTCCCTATTGTATCGCGTTCGAATTGGTAGCCTATTGGCATATTGTGGCATCATATGAGACTATTGATCGTGTCCGGAGTGGCTTATTGCCTGAGCGGTTTGTACTGGGTGAGACGAGATCATTGGATATAGGATCAGTGCAACCTGATTACACGAAGTATATGAAGGAGCAAATATCATTAGCTGGTTCAGAATGAGGTAATGGTTCTTGGCAGGGCATAGACCCCATGAATCGTTGATTCGGCAGTTGGTTATGAATTCCTACACATCCCTTCCGTCGTGGCGGCATTGCGAGAGTTGGAACCGGACTTATATATGTCATGGGGTGCATTGTGAGCATCAAATCCGGGAAATATCGGCTATTATGATCAGAGAGTGTTATTATGATCTTGTGAATGATAGGGTGCATGGTGTGAATTCAGCAAGGGTGTGCAGTCATGTTCTGGTACAGCGTGTGGTGATCGATACGGTGTTCATATGCCGAAGACAGGCCTGGCAAAGCATTTCGGATGTAGAAAATGGGCTCCAAGGCTTATTTGCCTAAATGAAAGAGGTTATCTTTAGATTTGATCGAGCTGATGTGCCCAACTGAGTTGTGGTAGCACGGGTAGGTGCATGAGGTATTAAGCAGTGATTCCATACAACCCCAGCACATTTCCTAGCACGTTCGAGGACGAACGTATGCTTAAGTGGGAGAGGATGTAACGACCCGACCGGTCGCTTTGAGCGCTAGCGCGCCGTTCAGCAGTTCGAGGCCATGAACAGCTTCAATTCAGGCATCATGACTTGTACGCGTGGTCGGAATAAAATTTCGGGAAGTTCGGAGTTGACTTGGAGGGGAAATTCTCATTTCGGAAGCTTTAAACTGAGAGAATTGACTAGGATTGGATTTCAGAGAAAACGACCTCGGAATCGGGATCTGAGGGTTCCAGCACGTTCGTATGATGATTTCGGACTTGGGCGTATGCCCGGATCGGGTTTTGGATGACCCAGGAGTGTTTTGGCGCCTGTTGTGGAAGTTAGCATTTTGGAAGAAATTTTATAAGTTTGGGTTGAAGTGCATTTCAGTGTTATCGATGTCCGTTTGGGAATCCAAATCTGGGAGTAGCTCCGTATGGTGATTCTGGAGTTGCGAGCGCGATCGGAAGTGAATTCGGATGTCCGTGGAGCATTTTGGAGTCATTTGGCTAAAGATAGAAATTTGAAGGTTTTTGAGAAGTTTGACCGGAGGTGGAGTTTTTGATATCGGGGTCGGAATCCGATTCCGGAAGTTGGAGTAGGTCCGTAATGTCGAATATGACTTGTGCGCAAAATTTGAAGTCAATTGGACGTGATTTGAAAGGTTTAATCGTCGAAAGTAGAAGCTTGAAATTCAAAAGTTTATAAAGCTTGGATTGGAGGTCGATTCTTGGTTTTAGCGTTGTTTGATATGATTTGAGGCCTCGAACAAGTCCGTAACGTATTTTGGGACTGGTTGGTATGATTGGTTGGGGTCCCGGGGGCCTCGGGTGGATTCCGGGTGGTAAACGGATCGAAAATGGAATTTTGAGAAGTGCCGAAGCTGCTGCTTCTGTCATAGTGCGGTCCTCACTTCGCAGAAGCGGCCTAGGGCAGGCCAGGCCAGGAACCGCAGATGCAGTCCCAGCTCTATGGCCCATTTTCGCAGATGCGACCCATTTTCGAAGATGCGGGACCGAAGATGCGGTCCCCTGACCGCTGATGCGGATATGCTGGAGGCAGTGAGGTTCTTTTAAATCGGGGGTTGGGTTCATTTCAACCCCATTTTCTTCCATTGGAGCCGATTTGGAGTAACTTTGAGGTGCCATTTTCACCACCAAGCATGAGGTAAGTAATTTATGTTTGAGTTAAATACATGATTATATACGGATTTGGACATGAAAATTTGTAGAAAACTTGGGGTTTGAGGGAAAACCTAGAAAATTGATATTCTTGGAATTTGACCACGATTTTGGGTATGGAATTAAGAGAAAATCATATATTTGAGTTCATGGAGTGATGGGTAAGCTTAATCTTCAAAAAAATTCGGAATCCGGGCACGTGGGCCCGAGGGCGTTTTTGTCAACCTTTCAATCGAGGTTAGGAATTGTTACAAATTGGATTAATATGAGTAGTTTATCATATATTAACGACTTTGCATAATCATTGGTTAGTTTTGGGAGTATTTAGCATCGATTCAAGTCTTCGGAAGGGCGTGGAATGCCGGTTATGGATCTTCGGAGCGAGGTAAGTCTCCTTTCTAACCTTGTAAGAGGGAACTGTCCCCATAGGTGAGTTAATTGGTTATGTGCTCCTATTTGTGGGGGCTACGTACGTACGAGGTGACGAGAGTCCGTGCGTAGCTACTATTATGTTTAAGTCCACGTAGTCTAGGACCCAAAAGCATGTTATTCTTGGAATATTTGTAATCTTATTGACAGTTTGAATTGTTTAAATCACGTTGAGTTAGTAAATGAATTTCTAAAAAGATTTACCTTCATCTTCTCGAATTGTTAAAAGAAATTGGGTTTTCCTTGGATAAATTGCTCCCTGATGAGTTCTTAATTGACTATTTGAATGTGTTTATATGTTGTGGAATGGGCCGAACGCCTCGGTAGATTAAATAGATGCATATATGGTTCGCACCATTCGACCCACTGGCAGTGCACAGTTTAAATATTGTTGGATCGGGCCGTACGTCCTCGGCATGAGTTGCGCATGCTTGTATTGCTTGTTGTGATAGTTGTTGATACTAATATCTGCCTTCCCCGACTTGAGAAAAATTGTCAATTAATGGATTATGAATCCGGAGATTTTAAATAAAAAGAATCTTTCACCTGTTTAGTGACTCATCTGAATTTTTAATGTTGTTCTTAGTAAATCCACGTCATCGCATTAATAATATTATTACTGGACCTTTAGTAAGTGTCGAAGTTGCCATCTCGTCTCTACTTCTTCGAGATTAGGCGGGATACTTACTGAGTACACGTTGTTTTTGTACTCATACTACACTTCTGTGCATTTTTGTTGCACAGGCACATGCGCCACTAATGGCTTAGCAGGCGTAGCAGCATGGTTGACACGTAGACTAGGTGAGTTGTATTTCCTCGAGGCGACCCGCAGCTAGTGTAGTCTCTCTCAGGATTTTATTTATTTTCTGTCCAATTGTATTTCGGACAGCTGTTGTACTTTATTCGATTATTCTTAGAAATTGCTCATGCACTTGTGACACCAGGTTCTGGGATGGTTGTAAAGTATTTTATATCAACTGCTTATTATTTAATTTGATTTAAGACGATTATCTTTTTAAAATGGTAAATTTGAAGGGAAAATCATAGATTTCAAGAGTATTAAAACAAGGATTTTAAGTATTTAGTTGGCTTGCCTGACAGTGGTGTCCAGCGCCATCACGACCCTTAGTGGATTTTGGGTCGTGACAGTTTCATCTTCAGATTTGTTCTTATCTCAACTTCACTGACTGTGGTAATTATTCTTCTTTCTACTTCTTCTACGATGGCTTCCATGTTTCATAGGATACTAGGATTTAATATTCTAATCAAAAAGTGAAATATTAATTCTAAGTGAAATACGCTATTAAACCCAAAGACAACATTAAGAATTACAGCAACAACAGAAGTGTACTCTTTGCAATTGGATGCCCTTCGAGGGGCACAAATTGCACAAGTTTTCATTAAAATCTCAAGGAAGGATTTAGGGCTCAATATAGAGGCTGCTGCAATTTTCCAATTAGTTGGGTTTTATTGATTTTGGTGTAGTTTTGCGTTAAAGTTTTGGTTTTTCTGAAGTTTTGAGTTATTTGTTTAAATAGGTTCATTATTATTTTTTAAAATATTTGGTTGTGCTTCTTGGTTTGTGTTTGATCCTGGGATTTTGATGATTTTTTGCTCCTACAGTTACAGAAGGGATTTACTTCTATTTCTTCTTCTAAGCGCATCTATTTGTTATCATCTGGTACATATCAATTATGTTACCTACAAATATTGTAAAAGTTTACCACGACAAATTTAAATGCAGACGTGAGCAACATCTAAAAATAATATTGATAACAACACTAAATGATTGTTGGGCCCGGGCATAGCCCGGGCACACCCTCACTATATTAGAAAGACTAGTTTTAGAGTACGTGTGTTGCGCGTGAATCCTTATCGATTGGAATAAATTTTTTAAAATTATATGAATAATTTTATTTGACTTCCTATATTTCTTAAATAAGCATAGATTTAAAAAAAAATATGTAGAAAGTTATAATTTGAAGGATCTTATAAATTAGAGTACAATTTACTGCTAATTTTAATATAAAACTTAAGTATCTTATCCGTATTTCGCTTTTCAAATATTATAGTTGGGTTTGTGATTTAATATGGTCAGATATTACAATATGTAAATAAAAAATAAAGTATGTTATATCTTATTAAGACTATCTTTCTTCCGGGGTCATAGATCAGAGAATTCCCTCTTTCACAGAGGCGGATCCAGAAATTTAACTTTATGGGTTCAAGATTTAGAACTCTAGCACATTCCTCAAGTTACTATACAATAATAACCGAGCGAAATCCGAACAATGATATATATATATATATATATATATATATATATATATATATATATATATAT